AATAATTGTAAAAAACTAAAATAAAATAAAATAGTTATTGAAATAAAAGTAATTTTGGTCTATTTTAAAATTATTTGATTTTATTTCAACCACATTTTAAAACCGCTTAAATAATATCCTTTACAAACGCAATTTAAATATTTAGATTCTATTATGTAGGGTACTGCATGTTGATTTTTTTAAAATATATTTTTAAATACAATTTGTTTACAGTCCATCTGTATTTAAAAATTTTTAATTGTGTTGAAAATCAACCACATAATCAACATTTTAATGAGCTCACCATTACTATACCACACCATACCACATATCTCGTACAGGATAATACAAAAAATCAATTTTTCTATTATAAAATTTGGCTTTGTTTTGTTTTTTTTTTACAAAATTACAAAATTTCATATTTGAAATAGAATCTTATTCCCATTGAAATTACATACATGGGTGGTAATACATTGGTAATTTTATATAACAAATTAGACTTTATTTTCAATTTAATTGAATTTATTTTTTCAAATATTTTACAAAAAAATTATAAAAAACAAAATTGGTTCATTTGCATTTTAATTATTGTGTTTATTTTAAAAAATTGAAAATTTCATATTAATTTTAATGTTTTTGTTATAATTGAAAAATATTACGATAGAGGGAGATTAATTATGAGAAATTTAATTGAATAATAAGGTTTTTTTTCAATATATTAAAATACATGTATTTGAATTAATGCAGCTATTACCCGCTAATGAAATATATTTTAAATGATTTTACTCAATTATTCAATATTGTCAAATCAAATGTCAAATTTTTAAATAAATAAGAACTTAAAAATCAAATAATGTGCACATAAAAAAAGTTTTTACAAAAAATTCTTAAATGGAAGCAAGAATCAAGAAAATTTTTTGATTATTCTTTAATATTTTAAATTTACGGTAGGCTAGTCACCTACCTATTAAAATTCAATGACGCAAGAAACTAGTTTATGGATATCTGCGCCAACTCTATACTCCTGCCAGGGGCGAAGTAGGATTAAACAAAAAAAGAAAATAATATTTATAATTAAATCTGAAAATTCTTATTCTTGAGAACAATACTTTACACAAATTTTCACCTGCTATATTTCTTATTATTTACACTTTAAAAAAATTTTTTTTGATCTTCCCTCAAATCACAGATCAACAAAAGTCTTATATTCAGATATATTTCATCTACAAAATATAAAATAATGGAATTTTATTAAAATCCTCTTTTAACTTTATTAAAAATAAAGATATTGTAATCATGTCAAAAAAATATATACACATATATTTTTCATATCCCTAAATGTATGCAACCAATTTTTTAAAGAAAAAAAAAAAACATAATTCTTTGAATTTAGTTATTTATATTTGATATAGCTAGAGCTGCAATATAAATATAAGTGTTTACGTGTATACATTTATTTATTTCGAACTCTCTCTTTCTCTCTTTTTTTAATTTTTCTGTTTTATTTTTACAAAGTTGTTACTTTCTATGATAAAATCAAGTATATTCAACAATTCTCGAAAGTATTTACCATGACATTATGTTTTTCTATTAAAAAACCAAATTCATTTTTAGCATATTTCGTATTTTTTGGAATTTCAAGAAAAAATTTTGATTTTGTTTTTTGACTGTCTGTTTGTAAAATCAGCCCTTTTAAGCGAAATTTCTGTATTACATGTCAACCTTTTGACGTTAGGTAATAGATTTTTCATTTAATATTTGATAGGTTTTAGGTAAACAAAATTCAAAAATAATTGAATTATTTTCAAAATTCTGTTAAAGTAGAATAAGTTTTTTTAGCGATTTCTTTAATAAATAATTGCAATGCACACCGAAAAATATGATTTAATTTTGACATTTAAACAATAAAAGAAAAATTCACCTGCCTGGTGGTGAAATGAAGAAACAAACTAAATAATAGATTTTAATGAAAAATTTCCTTTTCGTTTTTTTTCCAATAACTTATTTAAATTTTTAACTTGTTTATTGTTATTGAAAACAAAATTTTTTAACTTTTTGATTTTTTCACCTTGAAAAGTGAAAAGCGTTTTTTTTTTGCTATTCCTTTACCTGATTTTGATTCTTTAAAAATTTCACCACGGTATTCCTAAACTCATGCATGCATGCAATACTTACTGTTGATTGCTCAGTTTTTTTTCTCTTTTATCCTTTTTTTTTTGTTAAAAAAAGAGTAGAAAAAAAAGGAAACCGAAACTTTGGAGGGCGAATGGAATGCATCATGCAATTTCATTTGAAAAATTTTTAAATTTTTATTTTTAAAGTAAATAAGTCAGTAAGTAAGTCGATAATATCTTGAATAACAAAAATGAAAAAATAAGCAACGTAACTTTTATAAAAATGTTATGACAACTGATAAATTTTTGTTCAAAAAGAAATTTTTTTTGACAACTTTCTTTTTTTCGAATATTTTTTTTTTTGTAGTTAAATTTATTTTGAAAATTTATTATAGAATTCTTTTAAGTGGCTTATGTTCCTCAATACGGTTTTTAGAATAATAAATTTTATGGTGTGTATATAACAATTGAAAAGAGATGAACAATATGGTGAGTTTATTCAAGTGATTATATTAGACTATAGTTCAATTTAGTTAAACGAATTCAGGTATCAAAAGTGAGGTTTTGTGTTAAGTGTTAATACCAGCTGGAGGATGTTAAATATTTTTTTAAAAATTTTGTTTGTCAATGACTCTCACATGTGTTTAATGAAGTACTTTTCTTGTGTGGGGAAATTTTCTGAGTATCAAAATATCACAAAATTATACAAAATTGATTTGATTATATTTTATTTTTGTTTAATTTTGAATTCTTACATTAGAAGTAATGAAATTGGCTTATTTTCTAACAGATGGCGTTACAGTTTTAATGTAATTTTAACGCAGCTGTTTCTTGAAAAGCATTTGTGTTCATTTAGTTAAATTAAAGTGTTATTGGCGTTTTCCGACTCTGAAACAACAAAATTTGACTTTTTTAAATTTTATGTCCAATTATAATTAAAATTGGTCAAAAATGGAACTACATTTATGTATAAGTTTGCGAAATTATGTTTACTTTAACACAAACAATCAATTGAGTTCCCAACCAATAACTAGATTTTAGTGAAAAATTCAAACACGTTTTTTATATTCTTTTTCAGATTTAATTTCAAAAGATGTTACGTTCGCCGTATTCATTTTATTATCAATAGATTTTTGAATATTAAAACGTGCCATCACCATAATGAATTGTTTTAAACGAATAAGTTACTGTTCAAAGGCAGGAACAAAAAAAAATTAATCTAAAGAATACGAGAGTTAATATTGAATTTTTTTTTGCTTAGCTTTCTTTTGCTCAACACAGTGATGAACCAAAAGTGAACAAAAGGTCTTTTCAAAATATTTTCTTAAAATTTGTTTGAATAAGAGGATCGTAAATTTCATAGAATTAATTTTAATAATTTGTTTTGCCATTTTATTTATTCTCTATATACATACATACAAATGTATAGGTCTAATAGAAGAACATAGAACAAAATTTCCCATTTCTTTGATTAATTTTAATTCTTTGTTTTTCAGAATACTTGTATATAATAAGATTATAATCTTCAGTTGAATATCATAAATTTATATATACGTACGTGTATGTATTTAACATGTATGAAAGAACAAATTAAAATCTCCTTTATTTTGAATAAACCATCTGGGTTTCGTACAGTACGCATTAAAATGTGACAGTTTGTATTTCATTGTTGTTCTACGATTAGCAATATATATGAATGTAGATATTTTTGAATATACGTATTAAAATTCTAACGCGTATGTAAGTATATGACTATTAAAAATTTACGGGTTTTTGGCGACGTAAATATATGTATGTATGTATCAAATGTGTGCGTGTAGTATAAATGATGTCATATTCACTTTAAAATGAAGAGACAAACCTGAAATGAAAATTAAAAAATTAATTTTTTTTTCTTGATAAATTTTAAACTTTTTTTTTTTCATTCAGATTGAATAGAGCTTAAGTTTGTTGGAACGCACGTGCTGTTCTGGCTTTAAAAATGATTCTGCCTGTGTGTATTCTCTATGTTATGAACTTGATTGAATGGGAAGAGAGATTAAACTATTGGTTTTTAAAGTATCACATTTCCAAATAAAAATGCTAGAGAAAAAAAAAACAATAATTTTTACTTCTTTCAATAATTAATTCATATGTCATAAATATTGCATACTTATAGGGATAACAAAAAAAATATTAAAAGTAATCATAACAAACTGGTGAAATTATGGTCATGGTGAATTTGATTCAAGTATTAAATTACATTTTGTGATAAGAAAACATTTACCATTAATTATTTGTATTTATAAAATTAATTGTTATATGCAAGCTTGTACTCGTATATGTATGTACTTTCTAAGAAATAATTGAAAAATTAAAAATTGAAAACTACGATTTTCTTCGAATGATTGCTAAAATTTTGTGCACTTGCCACTTATGAGCAAAAGGCAATGCTAAATTTTTATAAAGGAATAAATTAGGTAAAAATTTCCCTCTACAGAAATATAGGATTATTAATAGATTAAACGACGAAAAGATGTTTGGACTGAAACTAATAAGCACATTTTTTCCCAATTGTTTAATTAAAAATGTACTGAAAAGGAGAAGGGTTTATGATGTGAATCTTGAAATTCAAATTTATTCGCCATTGTTTTATCAAAATTATTATGGTTATTATATAATAAGATGGCAGAATTCGCTTATTGTTCCCACCTCACACTAAATCCATTACAATTTTTCTCATAGTAAAGGTTTTATTTGTGTGCAAGCAAGTAGTTTTGAACAAATAAAAATTGTAAAGCGTGTCCGCTTTCAAAACACTTGACAACAGCTTGAGTAAAAATTCGTTTAGTGACTTTAAGTAAAACTCGCTTTGGGTTAACAATTCTATTTTAATAAACTTTAACGATTGAAATACTTATATAAATATACGATTTAAAAGTTTTTCAAAATCGAAATTCGAAATGAAAATTTAATTTTTATTTAAATATAAATTTGTTTCAACCAAAGAAAGAAAACGGGAAAAATGGAAAAGATCCAGGCCTTCCTCTAGCTCTTGCTTCTAACTCCCTTAATGGAATTGATGTTAATGGAGCATTACGGTTAGTTGCTGTTTCGGCACGTCCAGTTGTTGTTACAGGGTCAGTAGTTGTTGTAGTGGTTGTTGTAGGAGTAGTAGTTGTCGTAGGGGTAGTAGTTGTTGTAGGGGTGGTCGTTGTGGTAGGGGTGGTCGTTGTTGTAGGAGTAGTAGTTGTTGTAGGGGTTGTAGTTGTTGTAGGAGTAGTGGTCGTTGTAGGGGTAGTAGTTGTTGTAGTGGTAGTAGATGTTGTAGGGGTTGTCGTTGTTGTAGGAGTAGTAGTTGTTGTAGGGGTTGTAGTTGTTGAAGGAGTAGTGGTCGTTGTGGTTGTACTAGTTGTTATTGCCCGAACACCACCTCTTCTTTCTAATTGTCGCAATGGAATTGATGTTAATGGTGCATTACGATTGGGTGTCTGAATTCTGGATGGTGTTGTTACCGGAAAATTATATGGATACCAAAAAAACTGTTGCTCAGTATTTTCTATAAACTTTAAGAAACACAACAAAAAAAAAAATAAATAAATTAAAAATTAAAAGTTAAAAATTTTTGAATTTGATGGATTAGTTATTAAAAAAATGTAAATTTTGAATTGATATTCATACGCTCACAATTTTCACAGCAAAGTCTCAAATCTGATTTAAATCTGAGCAATATTATTAATCGGAGCTGGGTATTATTTGCATGACCTATTAATCCATATGGTTCCAATTGAAAACTGACTAAGTCAACTAATGGGGTTCTTTAACTTTCTAATAATTTCGAATTCACCATAGTTCGATTTGTGTTCTCTCAAAACTTGCCGTATTTATTTTATTTACATAGTTTAGATTCTATAAATAATGACAATATTTTCCTTTAAAAATTTTAAAATTTAATACTTTACACTTAATTTTTTTGAAACAATTTTTCCGGCTTAGTGAGTAAAATCACAAAATTTAGGCACATTCATTGGTTTTTTTTTTAAATTTATTTTCCGCTAATATTTTTAACAATTATTTTGAAAAGAAATGCTATACATTAAATTTTATTTATGATTTTTTTAACGACCAAAAATAAATGGAAGTGGTCTTGGTCTTGATGTTGCTTCCAATTGACTTAATGGTACTGATGTTAATGGTTGACTACGATCAGTTATAGGTTGGACAGTAGTTGATCTTGTCGTAATTGGGTAATAATATGGATACCAATAATATTGCTCAGTTTCTTTTGTAAACTATACGAAAAGTAAAAAAAAATTAATTTAAGTTAAAAAACAAATTTTGATTGTAAAAGAATTTTACATTTAATTTAAAATATTATTTTTTAAATAAATTTGAAACGATATGTAGACTTATTAAAAAGAGGGTCTATAATTTTTTAATAAAATTGATTAGTGAAATCTTTTAATCTTGGAAGTAAAACGTACTTGTAATTGCGGGCAAAGTTTTTATTTTAAACTGTTCTCCAAATCTAATTTGAAGGCTCTCATTTAAGTATTAGTCTTAGTATTAAACGCAATGTAAACACATTTTATTAATTTTTTACTCACAGAAACGAGCAGAATTAAAGTCACACAAGCGAATATTGAATATAATTTCATTTTTGAAACTAAAAATTTTTTTAAATAATTAAAAAACTAATAATTTCAATATCCTCTTTTAATCCTTAATCACTGAGCAACGGCTATTTGAGAACTAATTTGCAAAATGTTCTGAATTACTTATTTTTATAATCTAAATTGGTATGTTAATTATCTAACTTTGTAAGTGTATATAAAATGTTAATTAATGTAATGTGGAATTAAGGCAGGAGCGCATCATGAAATAAAGCTGCCTATAAAATTTCTAAAGCTGAAGGTAAAATTTAAGAGAAGAACTTCTTAAATTGTTTAGGTTTTGAACACATTACTTCTGCTTATTGCATATATTTTATTGTTATAACTTATACAAAAAGTATTAACAATAAAATATTGCTTTAAGTCCAAGCCTCCCCTGATTGAATTTTCATTGTAACATTGCTCTGCAATTATACACATAATGTGTAGTATGCGTTCTAGGGTATGTAACAAATATTTTCTCAAGTGTTAATTCTATTTTGTGATGTTAATAAAGAAATTCTGATAATATTGTTTAATAGTAAGTTGTTGTGTCATTAGTTAAAACAATACCCAACAATAACCCTTTATCAATTTATTAGTTGAATATAAATTACACAGAGAAAAATTTATAGTAGTTAAAAATCACACACAAAAAAAGTGTACAATGGTTATAAAAAACCGAAATGCATCATATTTCAATCATTTTACATGAGAAGAAAATAAATATGAGTAACTGTAACTTATTGCTTAAGACCAGTATTAAATTTTACGACTAAATGCAATAAAAAGTAGGAGCTTCATCGGGGGGACCTGGGGAATTAGTCCCAGAATAGCACTGTGGCTATATATGGCCCTTGCAAGGCCCATCGTCACCTATGCGTCGATTGTATGGTGCCACAAGGCTCAGCGGGCGGGTGTGCGGGTCAAGCTGGAAAAGCTACAGAGGCTGGTCTGCCTGGGAGTGACCGGGGCAATGCGGACGGCTCCCACCCGTGCATTGGAGGTGATGATCGGATTGCCGCCACTGCACCTCCATATATTGAAGGAAGCTCTTCTAGTGACTTACCGGCTTCTCTCTGGCGAGGACGGGGCAGGGCTAAAGTTGGCCCACAGAACTCACAGAGACTTCATTGAGGGCGATCCGAAGAATATTGCCGAATATTGCCTGTCTGCCGCGGTACAACTTCGACCACAGGTATGGTATGCGGACGGGTCCAAAACGGAGTCGGGTGTGGGTTCGGTCGTATACGGTGTCCGCCCGGACACGCGTGTATATGCAACCCTTGACCCGTATTGCACAGTGTTCCAGGCCGAAATACATGCAATAGAGATCTGTCTGAGAATCAATTTGGAAAGGGGGTATAGAAACCGCACCATCTATGTATTCTCAGACAGCAGGGCTGCACTGCTGGCGCTTCGTTCAACTCAGGTCACATCCAAGCTGGTCTGGAGCTGCCTTGCTGCACTTATGGAATTAACATCGGAGAAAGGAGTGACGCTCATTTGGGTTCCGGGCCATAGTGGCCATGCGGGCAACGAAGTTGCCGATGAGCTGGCGCGGAAGGGATCTGTGGCTGACTTTGTGCAGCCGCTGCCTTTCTGCGGTCTGCCTTCTTCCGCCGTGGGGGCCAGGCTTGCCTGCCTGCTCGCGGCGGAATGCGGCCGTCACTGGCGGGACACGAAAGGGTGCCGTCATGCGAAAGTGTTTCTTTCGGCGTGCTTCAGCGGATTCTTCGCAGAGTTTCTGGGGATGAGCAGGAGCCGGGTTCGCACTATTGCGAATTTCTTCACGGAGCACTGCCCAGTGAAGTACCACCTGCATAGGCTGGGGAGTCGAGCTTCCCCCTGTGCAAATTTTGTGGGGGTGGCGATGAGACCACCGTGCACATTCTCTGCGACTGTCCGGCATTGGCTGCTCGGCGCCGCAATTGTCTTGGACATGGGTCCCTAAGTGTTCGGGAACTGTTGTCCAACTCACTAAGGGATATCTCCGGGTTTGCGGTTGGGACGGGGATATTATAGACGGGGGAGTGGGGGGGGCTACAATAAGTCAAAAGTGGCTGCGGTGGCTTGAGGGGTTACTCATGTTCCACTTGGTTCCCTTAGAATCTACAATCTACAATCATCAAAGATGAGAAAACTAGTGTATATATGAAACTGATATTACAATTTGCTTAAAACTTGTCAGAAGCTACTGAAGAACATAATTGAGTCCCTATTAATAACAACTCTGTGAAACATCCTGTACTAAGAACGGAACCACCTTACAAATTGTAGATTTAAATACAACTTTAATTTAAAAAAAAATACAAAAGAAAAAATAACAAAACTATAAAATGCAAAAATTAAAAACTGCAATTTTTATTAAATTAATTTTATTTTAAAAAACATCTGTTACTCTCTTAACTGTATTTTAGTTGCAAATTAATCACTTACGGAATGAAGCATTTTATCTCACTACAAATTCTCCTTTTACTAATTTCAGTAAAAGTAAATAATTAATAAGTTACAAAAATTCCTTTTAATGTAAAAAATTCAAATATTTTTAGATTTTTTTTATAAATTCTCAAAAAATGGGAGTTCCAGCATGGGATATTTTTAGATATAATTTGGGGCTTATAAAAACTACTAGATTAATACCTATAACATCAACAACAGTTGCTACCAAAACAAAAACAACAACTGAAAATACGACTACAAGAAAACCAACTATTTCAAGAAGAACAATAACAACGAAAAGAAGAACTACAACTACATGTGAACCTCCATCAACTACATTATCGACAACCGAATTAACAATTTCTTCATCAACTATTCAACCAACAACAACATCTCTAACTACTCCAGAAATTTATAAAACAACTTATCCAACTGGTAGACCTACATTTTATACAACTTCAACAATCCCAGATACTACAACTGCAACTACTACACCTTTTACTCAATTTCCATTCGAATATTTATTGGAATTAATCGAATCAATTAAAAAATTAACTAATGTTATAGCAGAATTAACAAATATGTTAAAAGATTTGGGAACTATATTACCCGAAGGTACAGAGGAGCCAGAAATAGAAACAACATCAAAAACAACAACTGATATGACGACAACTACAAAATTTACTACATCAACAACTATATCAACTTCTAAAGGGACTACTCCATCTTATCCTCCAGATGAAGATGAATGTTTCAATGAAGAAGAACCATTAGACGAATATTGTTTTAATGAATAAATTTTTAAAATTTTGAATAATTTTTTTTTAATAAAATATTGCATATGTTAAGTTAGTAGATGTAGTAATGTCAGTAGAAGTAGTAAATAATGTTGACGTTAAAATTATGTGTACGTCTTGAACTCAAATTTCCATTGTATTATTGTAACAAAAATTATTTTGTAAACATTTGTCATTTTTTATACATATAGAGGAAGTCTATTGATGAATTCATCATAGATTCAAAGTTGTTCCTTGTTGCTACACCTTGTGCTTAAACTATAATCCAATATTATAGCTAGAGGGACACAGTATCATTGTTCCTAATTTAATTGTGAGCAATATTGAACAAGTTGTTGCTTTATTTGAGCACTTGAAAACTGCAAATTGAAAAGAGATAATAACAAATTGAAAAGTGGGATCTGAAAGAGGCACAATATAGTAGATATTATGATTAAAATTAAAATATTATAGTGACATCTTTTGTTAAATTTCATATTTAACTTATTTTGTTTAAAAATACAATTCAAAAAATTTTAATAAAAAATATTTATTTTTATTTTTTAGTGGTCGATCATATAGCAAAGACAGTCAACAAAGTTCACAAAGTGATTTGAGTTTATCTGGTGGATCACCAAAATTAATTATCAAAAATTCAACAAGTAAGTGATTGTTATTTTTTACTTTTATATTTAAAAAAAATTAATTAATTATTTTGTTTTAAAAATTATTCAATTTTAAATTTTAATTTAAAAAATTTCGTTATTTATGCTACGTAAATTTTATCAAGTTCCACAACCCAATTTCAATTACGTTATACATTGAATAAAATAAATTGCATATGTTTAGGCGAGTATCGAATAATTTCAATTTTTTAAGGCGAATATTTTTCTATCGAATATTTTGTAATTTGCTAATTATTTTTTATCTACATTATTTTATGTTTTTATATTACAATATCACTTACTCCTAAATTTATGCTATATTTTAATATAATATATAGAAAATGTAATTTTACAAAGTGTGGTGTACAAAGTAGTGCTAATAATGATAATAAGAATAAAACAAAAAATTGTTTTTTTTTGTATCAGAGAGAATGAGTAAAATACAAAACTTTCATTAATTAATTTTTGTAAACATTGTTTTTTTTTCACCACAAATTTTTTTCTCTTGCGGCAATGGTTTTAGATTATGTGCTTACGATTCTCTTACAACCGGTTATTTTTTTGTTTGCTCTTGAATAGTGTAAAAATATTTATTGTTTACCTATTCTATTGCTATTACATTCATCTGTTGAGTGCAGCTCTGTATCTGCCTCCTAATCAAGTTTAGTTCTAAGTTCCTCTTCATTTATTAAAGTTTGTTCTATCAAGTTCGAATTCAATCAATAATCTCTCTTTTGTGCACTTTATTTTTTGAGTTGAGCTTGGGAGCTTGCGAAAATAAATAAAAGAGAAAAGCAGTCAACAATAATTCTCTTAAAAATTAACGCAACACAAACATAATGTTATACAAATTCTTGTTATTTCAAGTTTTTCATACATTTTATTGTATACGTATAATAAAAATGATGATGGTCAATAGTTTTTATATTTTGTTTTTATAACAGAACTGCCAAACTATTCAATTTATAATCAAAAAATGTGGTGTATAAATTTATTGCAGAGTTTTTTTTTTTATTTTCTTTTTATGATTTTTATTATTTTTTTTGTGTTGGCTATTTAGCAGTTGCATACTAGTGTTGGTTAATTTTTTGTTTCTTTTAGTGTTATATTGCTTATAAACGCATATGTACATATGTACATGCTTACATAATTATAGTTTACGATACGATAGTATACTTACTTTAGAAGTTTAAAATGTTTTGATTATTTAGTTAATAAAAGTTCGCGATCGCGACACGTACTGTTTTACTTGTATAACGGTAAATCGTGTAACGTTGATCTGATAAAATGAAAAATAAATTATTTTTTTTTTTTATTTTTATTTAATTTTATTAATTTATACACCAATTAAATGAGTGTATAACTGTGTTTATTAAAATTGCATATTTTAAAATTAATAAATTATTTTATTTTTTTTTTCGAAATAATTGTTATAAAAAATAAATTGTTTAAATTAAAATAGAGAGAGAGAGAGATATAGAAAAGGGAATAAATTTTTTTAAAAATTTTTGTGCTTTTAAAAATTTTTGCGTATATTATACGAGAGAAAGAAAAGTAAATGTCATAAAGGTGATTTCTTGTTCCCGATAACGAAAATTTATAAAAAAAAAATAAGAAAATAATTTTTGATGTAAACGATCATTGCACGTGTTTTTTTTTTATTTAACTTAATTTATTGTCATATATATAAATATTTATAAAAATTACCTGTCATAATACAACGGTATTTTACGACAATTACATATTTCCTGCAATACATAATAATTGAGAGAGAAAAAATAATAAGCAAAAAATTAAAAGTAAAATTAAAAAAAAATTTTTGTACGTCATTCCTAATTGGTTGAGTACGTGAATTTATTTTTTTGTTGTTGTTTTTTTTTGGAGAAAAAGTTACATTTAATGTTGAATTGATTAAAAGTGGTTACGATTGTTTTAAAAGGGTTAAATTTAAGTGGATAATAAGTACGTATTAGTTATTTAAGCGTATATAAGCTCATAATAATATTGAAAAAAATTCAAAAAAAAAATGAGAAAATTTACAAAATTAATTCAAAACAAAAAAAATTTCGAATTAAATAAATTAATTTATGATAATTTTGTAAAAAATCGAAATAATTGAAAAAATTAAGAAAAATTGCCATCAAATCGATAATAAAAATAATCGATTGCAATTTTTAAAATTAATTCTTGCAATATTTGCAAACTGTGTACCGACCGCAACAGCGCTAAGAGAGGTAGGAGGAAAAAATTATAAAGTATATAATGTTTTCTGTTATTTGTTACGAAAATTTCAATTAAAATTCTATGAGAAGAAAATAAAAAAAAAACATAAAAATAAAATAAAAAAAAAATTCAGTAAACGAGTACTTTGCTCTTTTCCGTCACCATCGCTCGCAAGTAAAAGAAGAAACAAAATAAAAAAGGCAAAATTACATATTGGTTTTTATTATAAAATTTTTATAACAGTAAAAATTGTACATACATTATTTTTTTTTCTGTTATTGCTTTTATGGAATTATAAGAAGCGTATTTTTTTTTTACTCTTATTTAACGAGTACAGCTGATACATTCGTTTGTTTGTAATATACGCAAAGTAGATTTTATTCTGATACCTATAGGAGGTTTAGTAAAATTAATGTAGTGCATAAAATTAAAAAAAAAAAAGAACAAAACAGAATGTTAACATTTAAAAAACATTAAAAAAAAACGTCATTATACCATAAAAATATTGAAAATATCGTAAACTGGTTGCAAATAATAAGAAAACTTAACCTGTGATTGAAAAACCTAGGTTCATACTCTTACCGTCAATATACCTATGTTATTATAAAATTTAAGTTAGATTTTGCAAATTTTGCCGATATTTTCTTTATTTTTATAAAATTAACAATGAGAATAAAATAAACAGAAAACTGTTATACTCGTATATGACAGTTAAAATTAAAAAAAAAAATAAAGCTAGTTCGATAATTTAATAGACAGTTCTTTAAATGGACATTTCAATTCTACATCAATATTCTCCAATTCTACACTTTGTGTATTCTCCTCTTGTATATTAAGTATTTTTACTCATACAATGTATATACATCTACAAGTGTGTGTTACAAACTTGATGAGTTCTGAATGCACTTTTTTTCTCAAATATTTCCTTTATAAGTACTTAAGTTTAGGTTACTATTTATGGATTTTTGTATAATAACTAGAAATATAACAAAAAATACTTAATTTCATTTTATATTTAATAAGATGTTCTAGTTATTTTATTCTAAGTATTTTCATTAATAATACATTAAAAGAAAAATATTATGTTCCAATGTTATTTTTTTTATAATCAAGAAATAGGCCAATTATAATAGATTTGTTTTCCTATAATATAATGGTGATTAAAATGATTTTATTTTAATAATTTGATGCACTTGTACTTCGCAATTTGTTTAGATTATAAGAAAAAGAAAAAAAAAACAGTTAATTTAGAAACAGGGTTTCATTTTTTTAGATTTTTTTAAATAAGCAGAAAGGAGAAACGGGTGCAGTTTCTTTAAGAGGGTTTAACTAACTTATACTTACGTCTCATAAGTAACTAAATGAGTACTATGCATACAACAAGATCAATATTGTCACTTGAGTATGTTTGCTTACAATAATGTATAAATGAAAAATATTCATATAATTATGTTATCAATTACTTGTACTCAAATTTTGTATAGTAAGTATAAAACTAATCGACCCACATGCAAAAGTAACCACACTTTATTGTTATTATTATGTTATGAGTTTATTTTTTACAAGTACTTAAATAAATTGTACTTTAAATTAAATACTTTAGACTATAGTTTAATTTTGAATTAAATTCTCATTAGCATTTAACATTAACATTAAATTTAGATAAAAACGAAATTAACATAATATTCTTTACATAAAAATTTGTTAATTTTGTCTACATACTTATTATACAGTGAGTATGATATAATTGCCGGTATATTGCGCAGGTGATTTTAAAGTTCACCATTTGCTATTAAATTTATTTCATTATTTTAATTTATTCAATTCCAATTTGAAAAATATTTACAATCAGAATTTTCGATACCTTATTGTGAACATTGTACTTATGTGAATACGATCGACTAATTACCTAGGAATAAACCGAAGCACTTAAAATACTCGTATAACTCGTTACAAGTGTAAAGTCTTAAATAATTATTCGAAAAAATAGTAAAAAAAAGGATTAACATTGATTGTAAAATAACTTAGAATGAAAATCATTGTAAATTTTCTTAAATAAGAAATAAAAATTTATATAGATATTATTTTCAATGTTCATCGTATATTTTTGGAACAAAGACACACGAAAACCACAATAACATTAATTTTTTGAAAGAATATCACAAAACTGGTTTTGTTTTGAGTAAATCTGATTGAGTTCCAAAAAAATTTTTTTTTATTAATTCTTTTTATTATTAATTAATTTATGAATTCTTTTTTTA